CCACCACCATTGTACCCATCTCCCATCAGCTCCCATTAATTCATCTTAAATCTTGAATGCATAGACACATCACGCTCATCAAGACGAAGGCGTAAGCTTTTTAGTATCACCCTGACATGGCAGCAATCTTCATATGTCTTGCGTACTCCTCGAAGACTAGTGAAGTACACAATCAACTTGTCTTTGAAATCTGAAGAAATAATAATACCATTACTCTTCTTTCCACAATCAGGCACGGGAATATAAAAAGGGTGTTCTGGTGGTAGCTCTTGAAGTGATCTTCTGAAGGTGGAAATGATTTCAGGATCAAATTCAGGAATGTCGGTGTTCGAATTTTGATCATCCTCAGTCATTTGAAGCCAGAGAGGCTTTGGTGAAGCCGACCCATATTCTGATTTGGCAGGATCAGCTGGTGTCCTGCAAACATCAAAGGAGAAACTGCGTTGATGAGTAGGAGAACGGAAAGGACTAACATCTTCAAGACCCTCCATTAATTCCCATGCGTTGATTGTCTCAGGCTCCCCGGGTGGTGTTCTGATTGGAGTCCGTGGAATAATTTTTGGGATTTTCTCAGCCACCATGTTCGACCATGACTTGGCCTCCATTAACTTGCATTTCTCTTCTTCGACCTGTAACTTCCCATTGCTTTCCCCCTTCTTCTCATCATACCCATTGAGAATTTTGTTGAAGGTGGTAGTGGTGGTGGTGGCGGTGGCTGGTACGTCGATACAGTGATTGGTTTGATTAATGCAATCGAGCTTAATAGATCCCAAGGTGGTAGATGTGAGCGCCACAACGTGGTAGCTATCGCCACTGTGCTGCGCCGGGTGATGCACGTGCATCGAGTAACTCCGGCTCACCGGCGAATAAGGTCTCCGGCAGTGCCGGCATCGTTTTTCCTTGGAGCTGGCGCAACCCATCAGCTCAGAAACCGACAAATATGAAACGTTTTTTTTTTCTTTTCGGTTTCAGGTTATGATCAAAATGAAGAAGGGCTAACACAGGAGGGTTATATTAAAGAATCAAGAAAAACAGAAATGTGATATGAAATGGGTAGTTAATTTTATTATAATAGTCAAACTATAATTGAAGAATTTATCGGAGAATCAAGAAAATAATTCAAAAGAATCGCCGGGAAAGCTCAGTTGCAGGTGACTCATAGTAGGATCATAATTCATTGTTTTCTAAACCAAATACTTAATCCGATCCCACCCTTAAAAAAAAAACTAGAAACTGATCAAAATCCCAGTTGCGGATTTAGCATTTATATAAGAAAAAAAAAGGAAGAAAAAGAAAATTACCAACGTTGCAAAAACCTGAAATTTAGAGAAAGGGTTTGGTCTGTGACAGATCTTGTATTGAGAATTTGAGAATTCCGGGAAGGTGATCGAGGAGAGGGAAATAAAAATGAATAGGAGAATTCTGGAAGAGAAGAAAAGAGGTAATATGAATAGAAATTGAAGAGTCAAAAGAAAAGGAAGCGACGAAGAAGAAGAGGATGAAGAAGAAGAAGAAGAAGAAGAAGAAGAAGAAGAAGAAGGAGACCAAATTTACCAACGTGACCACCACCTGATCCCACACTCTTTTTCCGTTTCCCTTTGTTTCCTTTTCTTCACTTTCTCTCTCTGCGTTCCTGGAGAGAGAAATATGGATGGGTGGTTAAGGAAGGAAAGAAGCTGAACGTTAACAGGTGGAATATATATATATATGTGCATGTCTGTGTATTCATCAAAAATTTTAAAACAATTTTTTTTTTTTTCTTTCTGGTTGAATTGAATTAATGATATGATAATTACGTCATAGGAAAAAGAAAAGAAAAAAACAAAAGAGTAAATAATAAAATAAGAAAATGCAATAGAGGGTCGACAAAGGCGGAAATTATTGCTTTAATGGCTCCTCCCAACAAAACAAAGACTAATTAATTAATAATTAATTTCTACTTTTTATTTATTTATAATAGCAAGGATATTAAAAAAAAAAAAAAGAAAAGTCATACTGAAAATGGTAATAACACCACTTGGGTTTTGGATCGCGTGATTGTTCCAGCACAATCTATTTTGGAATCTAGAGGTGGGCTGTGTGTTTCGTTTGATTTCCGTGCTTCTTACTGCTTTTATGGCGCGTGTAAACACTTCGTAAAATTAATTACTAGTTAACAACAAATTAATTAAGTTAATTTGCTTTTCTCTAAAAACAATTCAAACTAATTAATTATACGAATAACGACTGTTTCTGTATCAAGTTTTAAACACATAAAATATGTTAAATTATCGCTACGAAAATTGACCTGAAATTTTTTTAGACCAAAACAGGAAAGCCAATGTAATATATATAGGTATATATATATATATATATATATATATCTTAATAACATATCAGTAATGTTGTTCGAAAAAGATTATGATTTGAGTCTTTTCCAGAAACTACATGCCATTCAATTATGAACTTGTTCCATGGAAAAAAATTATTGGTGACAAAATGTTTACTTCCTATTATTATTACGTTATTTTTAGGTTCTTACATTTTATAAAATTACTTTATAAAATTTTCATTTTAATAAGCTTCTGCTACATTTAGATCATACTAAATATTTTTTTATTTCAAAATTTATTTTATTTTTTCTGCTTTCAATGCTTATATTTAGAATTTTTAAACAATTCTTTTATTTTGCATAGATCAAACTCTTTTATTCTTTATGTAGCAAGTTTCATATAATTCTTAAATTAAAATTCATATAATTCTTTATTTATTTATTGTTTAAATCCAACACATAAATTAGTTTTGAAAATATATTAGACGAGATTGAGAAATAAGAAAGATAATCTTTGTTACAGAATATAGAGAGAAAATCAAGATGGAGAATGAAAAGCAGGTTTTTCTATAAAAATTTATGGAAAACTAAATTTTATTTTTTAAGTGTTTTGATATGAATTTTTCACTCAAAAGATAATGAATTTATAACATTCTAAATGTCGGTAGAATTTTAATATGAAAACTTTAAATTACGTGTAGACTTAAAAGATGAACTTTATAATTGTTAAAAAAAATATATTGAAATAATTGTATTTAATGAATTTTATTTATTTATTTTTAATCTTACTCTATGGAAGTAATGAAAAATAAACATTATAAAATAATTAAAATGGTGAGTAGCCAATTTAACCAACTCATATAATAACTGTAATAAGTTAAACTACAATACAAGTTGATTTAACTTTACAACCATGCACACAGTAATAATATCACAATATGCATAAATAACAATTCTCAATAATAGCAATTTAATCAAATACAATACACAATGTAATAATTTTTGAATCCCACCTTTTATAATAAGGCTCGAGATCACAAGTTAATTAAGGAACATTAAAGCATTCATTGCGCTTTTGGAAGGGAAAAATCTAAATGTTGAGATGGGTTGGAACAGTTGGCTAATTGTTTTAGGTGGAAAGTAAAGAGATTTTATCGATAAAACCTTGAAGATTTGATATTTAAGAATTATGTATGAATTGAGATTTCCATATGAGGTACTTTGAGCTTTTAAGCTCAATAGAAAACATGCGATGGGCTATTTGCAATGATTTAGTAGCTAATTGAGGGAGAGAGGAAAAATGGGATGATGGTACCGAACTATTTATGACTCTTATGCCATAGAATAAAAATTTATAATTTATTTTTTAATAGTTTATGTTTAGGCACAAGCATCTGTTAGTAAATGGTATAAAATACATATTAAACAATCCTAAATCAATTACACTATAGAATTAGAGTTTAATTAACTTGTGTGATATATTTAGTCCATAATTAGTCTTTACTAAAATTCCTTATTGTGTTAATAGAGGATAGCTGTTGAAGAAGATTGTACATCATAAACCAACTTAGATTATTGGTAAAGGCCAAGGTTAGAAATTATAAACTTAATTAGTAGATATTAGAAACTGGTAAATTGTGTAATTAATAATATAATGATTGTTTTGACGAGCCAAATCATTATTTAACCATATTGAAAAAAGTAGGTGAAGTTACTTACAGATTAGTAGTAGTTGTGCTTATAATTATGGAAACCTATGAATGGAAAAGGATGAAAAATTGAATGTGCTTCTTCATCATGAAAATTTTGGTTACAACCCAAGTGGGCTTCGCCTTTTAGCTTTTAAACTCTACAATTACTGTAAGAACAATAATCACAATGATGGCAAAGTCTTGGTGCAACCATAATTACCCACCCATGTGTTTATTATATATATATGTATATATGTGATGTGGGTCGGGGCCCCTTAATAACCCTCTCCTTTTGAATCATTTTTTAAATTGGATCTTTGTTGTTACTCCTTATTGGTTGAAGCCAAGGGCAAATTTTTTAATGGTCGATTATCCTACTAAATTTGGTATTCAAATCTCATTATCCA